ATAAAGTGCAAATAAAACTACATTTTTTTTATCAATTATTATTCTATTATGGTTACACTAATTTTTTTATCTTTTCTATTTTATATATTTTTTAAATTTTTTATTCACTGCTTTTTGCTTTCTTTCCTTCACTCCCACCAGCACTTTCACTGGATACAGGTTGCTTGGTAAAATATCTATCCAAAGAGGTTTGGCTTTGCCTACTTTTTAAAATGTTTCTAAAATGACTTAGGCAAATGTTATTACTCCGAGCAGCAATATGGCCAGTGTGAACCTTTTCGGGATGTTTCTTTTCAATAAAATCATCACTTTCCGATAATACCTAGAGATTTTCTTTATCGAGTGAGATCTTTCCACCACGAAGCAAACACGCGGACCGAGACCGATGAACAGAAGTGAATAAAAAATGGTGCTGCAAACTCGTAACGTGGAGCAAAATTATGTTCAAATTTCATGTCGTATCCTGAAAATTTCATATGCTGGAGCATTTGTTTCCTGAGGTACTACTGTACTGTATTTCACAATATAAAGATACAGAAAAAATAAACCATCTTCAAATGCAAAAAGGTTTATTAAACTGAAAGAAACTAATGTTTACGGTCATATGTAATGACCTTCATGAAGTCAGATGTTTGAACATTTACATGTAATAGCAAAACTAAACACAAATTGTAAGAAGTTGATTCTGACCTTTTTTTTTTTGTTTGGGATTATTTTTAGTTCGTTTTCTTATTTATTTTGGGGCATTTTATTTAGTTAAGGATAGACTGCTTCACCAAACCCAAACAAAATTCTAAAACAAAAAAAAAAAAAAATGAAATTCACCTCACTACAATGACTGCCGAAGGCAAATCAAATACATCATCAACCTGGAAATGACATCTCAGGGTAGACTTCCAAAGGAAAGTTAAAAGAATGATTTCCCACTCCAAATTGTTACCAAAAATTTTGAAAAAGTAATGTGAGGGTGATGACATGACATGGAAAGAAGATTACTAGAGCCACATAAATGTTAAATATAAGTATGTAAATAGGGTTGAGTGGTTGCATCAATGTAGCATCACCATCCCAACACTATAAGACGAGAGATGAACTACTGTACGAATGAGAAAGATGAAGCTAAGAATCGAGCAAGGTTAAGGAAAAAGACTTTCAATTTGGATGGCAGATTAGAATTTTCTTCTTGGTGATGGTTAGATGAGTTAATTGTAAGAATCTTTTGTGAAATTCCTGTACATAGTTTAGTTTCATATTTTCTTGTCAGTTCTTATGAAGATAGTTAAGATAATTCAAAGTTAATTTTAAGTTTCCCAAATGTTTGAAGTTTGAATTTTTTCTAACTTATTTCGTATTATACAGTACATAGTCGATCATACAATAATAAATAAAATTTTTTTTCTTTTAATGTATAGTAAAGTAATTATTTTGGGCTTTTTATACATTAACAATTTTCGTTTGTACTTTTTTTTTGCCAGCCTGACATTGACCGACCTTCATTTTTGGTTTATGCAACGTTCATTAGGTAATTTCCAGGCTTTCAAAAAGTAAGATATTACATAACATTCAAACACAAAACAAGGTTTAACAAATTTTTTGTTCTATTTCTGTTAGTATTTGTAAATGTTCATTTTTTCAAATATCAAACCTGATGATGATCATTAAATATGACCAAAAATATTATTTTTTTCCAGTTTAATAAACCTTTTTGGTGCTGTACAAGGTAGTATGTAGTTAATTGAATGATTTACTAAAGCAGTTACTTTATATAGTTGTAAAAATTTGAAAGTAAAATATACAAACATCTAGATTTATATATCAGATCTAGTGTTAGTGAATGTATAATATCAAGTTACAAAATTAATATTTTGATGATAGACAATTGTGTGTGTTTTAGTGACAACAGTTTTAAATCACTATTAATTAAAACAATGTGATAATCTAATGAAACTTTTCAGAAATTAAAATGTACCTGTACTTGTGCACCTTTTACTCAACTAGGAAATCAAAACCATAAAACCTCTAATGAACTAAAGAATGATTACTCATCAGTAAAGAGAGCATGGTGTTGCAAATGTTTTTCCTAGCTATGCTTCTTCCTATAAATTCATTTGATTTCTTTCAGTTCCTAATCTTCAGCATGGTCCTTGTGTATATTCAAAATAAATATGTGATTCAATAGAACAAATGACTGGACAATATTGATGAAGTATACACTGTCATGCAAATAGTTCTAAATTATTGGGTTGGCCAAGCCCAATTCATACACAATCCTGGATTTATTTCCAAGTTTGACAAAAGCCCACAAAAAGATGGAAATTTCTGAATCTACCAAGTAGAGAAGTATTCTTATCGAAGATAGGCACAAGTACACACAGTTCAATGAAGAAAAAAGAATTTGAGAGCAACAAGGCTTATGGCATCAACAGCAAGAGATTTATCTGAGAAGGCAGACAGGTTGAATAGAAACTGATCAAGAACATGTCTCATGTCCAAAGGATATCGGTTGCTATAAAACTTGCTCCCTCAATTATGTATCCCAACTACTCTCAGTCTCAGTCCCTCATCCTCACTTCCCAATTGTTCTCACACCTGTTTCCAGGGGTAATTCGAGCAAGAGACCAGCTTGGGCTGTGGAAAAGATCAATGCCAATATCTCTTCTCAATTGGAAATGTTTGCTGATCTTAGGACTTACGTTGTTTAAATCAAAGAATTGTATACTTCTCTTCAACACTTATTATTCCAAAGTGCTAGTTGTTCGAAATTGCAATGGCAAACAAATTATTAAAATAATTTATTTTTACAATTAAAATTCTTTTGTTTTGATTTATAGAAATATAAAATATCATGTACATATAAAACAATTTTGTTTTCATTTTTCTCTTCCATCATTTCAGCCAGTGACAGTCCAAAAACAATTTTTATACATGGAGACAACCTTTTATTACAGCCCCTGCCCCAGCAATAAAATGCAACTTGGAAGCAGTGTCCTCTGGTCATTTAGCCAAACTCCTAATATAAGTAAATTAAGTAAAAATTTTAAAAATTTGGCTGACAGTATTTACAATTTTAGTTTTTTAAATTGTTCCTTCTTTGTTTTGAGAAGTTTTGGTGTGGGTTTGGACAATGTCTGGGACCTCACAAATATATTTCTTCTTAGTGTCTGTAATCTAATTAGGAAAGGTTGGGAATTACCAATGCTACTTTTTAATAGAATGTATATTATTTTATAGTGATTATCTCCCCAATAAACATACTGAAAGTCTTTTTTCTACAAAATGTTTTGTTTCTGTAAAAAAAAACCCAAACAAAATTTTACCTTATTTAAATGTCATAATTAATGTAAACATGAAGCAAGAAGCAGCATGGCCAAATTATGGAAGTTTGTTTTGATTCCACACTTCAATTTGCAGAAGGTTGCAACTTCATGATTTGGTATGAATTTTTTTCTTTTTCCCTATGCATAGTTTTCATATTTCTCCACTTAAATATCTTAATAAACACTTAATAGGTAGATTAATTTCAGATTGTGTAAGTTTTAAACTGCACATAGTGGCTGTTTTTTATCTTAAATAATGGTCTTTCCAATTAATTTTATTACAACAAATGGATTAATTGATGTCTAATTAGAATAACACCATACATGGATTGGAAATAACTTTAAATATCAAAACATACATATATACCATCTTTTACTTACCTTTAAAAAAATTTTGTAAATGTACATACTTTTTAGCAAAGCACAATCTTCTTTTAACAATGAAGTAATTTTTTGATGCTATTATGAATTTCAACTGTGCTTTGATTATCTGGAAATTTTATCTCTCCACAGTCAAAATAATCATTTTGACTGTGGAGAGGTACTTTTTTGACTTCCCAACATTAGTGACTTCTCAGTTCTCACAAATAACTCTGCAAATGCTCCTTTAAATTTCAGTAAACAGGGATCACTCCTTTGTAAACAAGAAAATAAAAAAATAAATATTGTTCTATTGAACTTAAACTATATACTTATCAAATCTTCTAGTATTATGTGCATGTGTGTATAATAATTAATAAAACTGATGGAAACAGCCATTACATGCAGTTTAATAATTACTAAGTATATTAATAATAAATATCTTTATATATTGCATGAATATTTGAGTGGAGAAATGTGAAAAATATACATAGGAAGGGAAAAAATTCTTAATGAATCACAAAACTGCAGAATCAAAATGAATTAGATTACTCTGTCATAATTAACATAAACACTAAGCAAAAAAGTGGTATGACATTTGAATAAGATAATATCCTTTTTGGATTCTTTTATGGAAACAAAACATTTTACAAAAGAAAAGAGAACTTTCAGTACATTTACTGGGGAAGTTCTCTCTATAAAATTATATAAATTCATTAAAAGGTGGTATTGGTAATTCCCAACCTTTCCTTGTAAAAATATACATAAGCAATCAACTAATCTAATTTATTAATATTAAAATTTAACTAAAATATACATTCTTCTTGAACCAACATCTTCAATTATATATCCATAGACCCATGCTTTGAGATCTACAAAAAAACTGATACATCCAAAGTATGTGACATTTGATTTTTCTGGTGGCCCACAGTTAGATCTCACTTAGAAGATTTATGTCCCACAAAATCTGTCCAATATGTCAGATGTTAACATAGTTATAACCATGAAAAGCCCTGGACATATATCTTTATGTTGCAAACAAGAGTTAATACAATTTGATCAATGTTAATACATTTTTTATTCAATATTATAAATAATAATTCTATATACTTTCTTGAAACTGTGTCAGTGATTGTTTTTGTTGTTTTAGAACACTATATAGTTCATACACACAGCACAAGGCAATCTTCATTGTAAATTTATTGAAAATTTTTTACACAAAAAATTTTTTATATATTTTATGTATGCTATAATTCATATGTATTATATAATTTTAGTTGACTGAGGAGGGGTCTACACAAGCCTGAAACATGTAAAAAAAAAAAAGTACATGTATCAACTAAAAATTGAATAAATTTACAATGAAGATTGCCTTGTGTTGTGTGTATGAACTATATAGCGTTCAAAAACGACAAAAATTCAATATACTGTTATCCAAAATGTGTTTCTTGGTTATTGCAATTCTTCCAAAGAACTAGCAAATCAGTGAAATCAACAAGTTTCACATTACACATTGCTTCCAACAAAACACTATGCCTTTTGAATTAAACTGACAGAGTTAAATATCTCATCATAATGTTGGACTACAAAGAAAAAATAATTGCAAAAATACCTTAACAATACTATACTAAACAAATAAATAGGCTCTCTTAGTGTTCTTAGTTATTTATTCAATGAGTATAATTAGGTAGAAAATTTTTCACAGGAATTATTTTTATTGCAATTCAACAGGTTAAAAAATTTCAATAAGAATGCACTGAACAGGAAGACTTTCATGTTTGAAAATTTGACAACAGTGCTCTCTATGCAACAGAATAGTATATGCTCATGGACTTGTACTCTTCTTATCTTGCGATTTTCCCACAAGCATTTAAGAAATGCAGTAAAACCTGTTCAAAACAAACCTGAATAAAATGGAAATCTGCCAAACTGAAAAAAAATATTTGATACTGTGCAATTTCAGTTTACACAAGTTTTACTGTAAATATGTTTTGGACGTATACTCTTATTTCACACACACAAACTTTGAATGCTTATGACAGCCCGCAATTAGCCATTTAGGTATGATGTATATTTCTATTGTATGGACAGATGAGGACAAATATACAGAGGCAAAACTATTGATAACTCAAAGTTTGGGACTTATGCCCCTCTTCAATTGTTGAATTTATTGGACTATTGGGTACTATGTTTAATAATTGATATTAGAAAAAACTATTAATCATTTTGCAAAAAACTGCCATAAATTGCACATAGACATTTAGATTATCTTGTATACCATAATGTTTGTATTACAAAGTAATAAGAGTTTAAATATTTTTTCAGTGAATCGTTTAGAAAGCAAAAATAAAAATAAGACAGTTTAAATGAAATCTCAAATGTTAAAAGTAAATATGTATTTAGTCAATTTTATCAACTAAAAACTAAAGAAAATATTTAAATGTTATATATGTTACCGTGAAAGACTGAAATTAGAGAATGTTGATATTCTCCGGTGAATGTCGACACATACAAAATATGTTGGTGAAAGACTGAATATTTGGTTATATTATTAAACATTCGAACAATCGCCGGTGTATGTCGACAAGCACAGATAAGCTTTGGTGGAAGTCAAAACGGCACCCGAGAAGCCTATGTTGACAGAAAGGCGACAGCCTGTCGCCAAATCCTTTGTTCTGTTGCAATTGAAATCACGTGGTATCTATTTGTTATATTCTGGAACACTGCTGTTTGTCAGTCTTATGCAAGGTTTGCTGCTGCGTGCAATGTTTTCTTGAATTTTATTTTTTTATCCAATACCCTAATTTATATTGAATGGATACTGCAGTGAACCAAGAACTTTTTTGAAATGTTATGTGCATTAATTGCAAGTAAACGAGAATACAATTGTTTTTATTTTTCTCAAGAAAAGTACTCTAAAATACTTTCTGAAGTGATTTCTGCTAAAACTAAGTGCAGCACACCTTTGGATTAAAATGTTTTGACGTTTTAAAAGTTAATGATGAAGAGAAATTAATTGTACCATTCTAACCAGGAGAAATGAATATACAGTATTATGTTACCAATGATAAATTGTTCAGTGTACTATCTGAAACTCAGAGCAGAACAGGCCATGGAGGAAGAACACATATGTTTAAAGAATTGCAACTTAAATACAAAAATATTACATATGAAGTTGTAATGTTGTATTTAAATTTATGTAATTAAATTTATGTAAGCAATGTCAAATGAAACATAGTGACCTAAAAACGGTATTGTTGTGAAACCAATGGTCAGTTCGGAGTTAAACTCAAAATGTCAAGTCAATCTGATAGACCTGTAGTCACACAAGGATGGCGAATATGAGTTCATAATGGTGTATCAAGATCATTTAACAAAATTTGTCCAGCTACTACCTTTTGAAAACTAAGACAGCTGAAGAAGTAGCATATCATCATCATCAAATATTTTTANTAGAGAGGTTGAGGCGCACGTATTTAGCCCAAAACGTGTACGGGTAACGGGTGAGCGCCGCCATCTGGCAGTTCTGGACCGTCGATAATGGCGTTTGCTACGTGTAGCTTGGTGAGTACACGATCGGCTTAAACGTCTTCATTTTTTTGTGTTTGGGGTTAAAATTATGATTTATTTTGCTTCTGCCATTTTTTTCAACTTATTTCCCGTGAGTCAATGCGCGAAGTTCACTGAGTCACGTGATGTTATGAACGTGTGCCTCAATGATTTTTACTTGGACTTGAAATGTGTAACGTGTACTTCTGCTACCCGTACACGTTTAACGTTTGAACTTGTGCCTCAACCTCTCTACTACCAGAAGGTGTGATTTTTCTGTGAAGTTTCTGTTCCTTTCTTACCAATCAAAACTTAATTTCTGAATCTGCCTCATATTTTTCCTTTCTAAAGAGAAATATGAAGGAAGAAACTTTGTCAAAATGTTTAAAAAATTTATATTTATTTATTTTATATTTGAGCAATAATTGTAAAAGTAATACAATTAAAATTTTAAACTTACTGCAAATAAATGTTCTGTCAGTTCAGAATTAAGAATTTGATCAGACTGTCTTAATTTGGTAGCTGCATAAAACAGACCTCTCAGTAATGGATCTATGCCTCCTTCTTCGACAAGTCTGAATGGAGAGAAGAAAGCCTTTCTGAGAGGAAGATTTCCTTCTGGTATGGGCTGAAAAGATGCATTCAATCTCAAAAGTATAGGATTAATAAGTGTATGACCAAATCTCAATGCAGCAGTAGCAAAAACATTAGCTATAGAAGGATTCACATTTGGATTATATCCTTGATAAGAACCCAGCATCTTCATTCCTTTCTCCCCAAGAATTTTTGGTAACCAGTGAGTATAGGTAAAATGTTGCATTTCAGCACCCACAATTTTTCTTGCTTCATGATACAATTTATCACCATTCCAGTGAGAATTAATGGAATGCAAATCAGTAGCAATTCTGTTATGTTCTCTCATCCATAAAGTATGCATTGCTAATAAACCTAATTGTTCATTTGCTCTTTGATCTCCAGCAAGAAAACAGTCCATACTGCTTTCTTGATGATCTCGCTTGCAGTCAACAGGTTGGCCATCATTAAATGGTAAAAGATGTTTTCCAGAGTGCATGACAAGTCCAGTTCTTAGTAGTCCAAGTTCATTGGTACGATCTCTGAGGTGAAGAGCTAATTTTTCTGTACTACCATATACATTAGAAGCATCAATAAATGAAGTGAGTTGATTGACTTGTTCTCTAGGCATTATTTCGGGAACAAATAAAGATGTTAAACCTGATCCACAGAGTGTACTTGATCGAACAAATTCCATACACTGATGATTCCGAATTCTTTTGTCTCCGGGTGGAACTTCAATAGGAAAACAGGGAGGAGAATATTCACAAGATACACTGCAATCTACACCATCTACAAAACTTGCATGACTAACAGCAGGAAGAGAAAAATCCAAATCATGATCTAAAAATTGACCCCACTGCATAAGCATATGAGAATATTCAGAATCAGGTGTTATATTCTCTGTAGTTATTATTTCAGAAGATACCAGACGAGCACTAGGTTTTCGAAATCCATGATATAATTTTGAAGGAGTCCAACCTAAAATTTTAAATGTCAAAAGTTAATATCATATTATACATATTTGAAAGAATCATCATAATACTGTATGAATAATTTAAAAGCATGGAGTATAATGTCTTACCAGGATGTCCATAAAGTTCCCTGAGTTTCTCTCTTAATTCAAAATTATGAATCTCGTGTCGCAAATCATGAAAACTTTCGGCTACACTTAAATTACAAAATTTTCTCCATTCATTGTAACTGGGAAGGGCATGATCTCTTCCTCTTTGGATGTTTAGAGATGCCAAATCTTGAGCAACAAGATGAGCTGGCTAAAATACAATAAATAATAACCAATTATCACTAAATATTTGTCAAAATATTTATTTTTAAAACTGTCCAAAGTTATTCCCTCCATATTTCTCTTTAGAAAAAAATACAAGGCAAGTTCAAAAATTGAACTTGAACTTGCCTTGTATGATTGGCTAGAAAGGAACAGGAACTTACTTCTTTGAACTTATGTTGCTGAACCCGTATTTTCCTATAACAGTTACTATCATAGGAAAATACGGGTTCAGCAACATATTCACGTTTGAGGTTAAGACATTTGTTAAAGCAACAGATGAGCTTTTGCAACTACTTGTCACTCCAACCTTTCATACTTGTCTGTAGCTCATCACTGTTGGAAGTCAGTTTTTGGAGGACGATACATCTGTTTGTGCATTTGAAGTTGCTAGACCAGGACTATATGGCAGGTGTTCAAAGATTTTGCATTTGATTCTAAAAATTGTCAACTTGGACTTATTGGATTATTAGAACTATTACACTGGTATACTAGCTATTTGTAAAAGGAGGAGTTCTTAATCAGAAAAATGAAAAATCTTTATTTTTTCACCTGTAGTATTTCCTTAAGGACATTAAAGCTATTAAATTTTGCATTTGAATTTTTCAGCAATTCCTGTGCTGTAGGTGGACTTTGATCATGCATTATTGTGAAGCAAAATTACTCCAGAGCTCAGTAGGCCATATCTTTTGTTTTGAATTGCCTGCTGTAATTTTTTTTGTCTCTCTTTACAACTTATATTGTTGTTCTGTAGAAATAAAGAGCTGCAGGCAACCATGCAAAGTTGGTAGAAAGACTTCTTTGACTAGTATTTGCAAAAGTTTATCTGTTGCTTTGACAAATCTTTGAACCTCAAAGGTGAATATGTTGAAAAATAAGCATAAGTTCAAAGTAAGTTTCTTTAATATTCTTTATTCTCTATTTTTTTATTATTTATTATAATAAACAAATAGAGAATAATGTTTGTTTATTAAGCAGTTACTAGAGAGGTTGAGGCGCACATATTTAGCCCAAAACGTGTACGGGTAACGAGTGAGCGCCGCCATCTGGCAGTTCTGGACCGTCGATAATGGCGTTTGTTACGTGTAGCTTGGTGAGTACACGATCGGCTTAAACGTCTTCATTTTTTTGTGTTTGGGGTTAAAATTATGATTTATTTTGCTTTCGCCATTTTTTTCAACTTATTTCCCGTGAGTCAATGCGCGAAGTTCACTGAGTCACGTGATGTTATGAACGTGTGCCTCAATGATTTTTACTTGGACTTGAAATGTGTAACGTGTACTTCTGCTACCCGTACACGTTTAACGTTTGAACTTGTGCCTCAACCTCTCTACTACCAGAAGGTGTGATTTTTCTGTGAAGTTTCTGTTCCTTTCTTACCAATCAAAACTTAATTTCTGAATCTGCCTCATATTTTTCCTTTCTAAAGAGAAATATGAAGGAAGAAACTTTGTCAAAATGTTTAAAAAATTTATATTTATTTATTTTATATTTGAGCAATAATTGTAAAAGTAATACAATTAAAATTTTAAACTTACTGCAAATAAATGTTCTGTCAGTTCAGAATTAAGAATTTGATCAGACTGTCTTAATTTGGTAGCTGCATAAAACAGACCTCTCAGTAATGGATCTATGCCTCCTTCTTCGACAAGTCTGAATGGAGAGAAGAAAGCCTTTCTGAGAGGAAGATTTCCTTCTGGTATGGGCTGAAAAGATGCATTCAATCTCAAAAGTATAGGATTAATAAGTGTATGACCAAATCTCAATGCAGCAGTAGCAAAAACATTAGCTATAGAAGGATTCACATTTGGATTATATCCTTGATAAGAACCCAGCATCTTCATTCCTTTCTCCCCAAGAATTTTTGGTAACCAGTGAGTATAGGTAAAATGTTGCATTTCAGCACCCACAATTTTTCTTGCTTCATGATACAATTTATCACCATTCCAGTGAGAATTAATGGAATGCAAATCAGTAGCAATTCTGTTATGTTCTCTCATCCATAAAGTATGCATTGCTAATAAACCTAATTGTTCATTTGCTCTTTGATCTCCAGCAAGAAAACAGTCCATACTGCTTTCTTGATGATCTCGCTTGCAGTCAACAGGTTGGCCATCATTAAATGGTAAAAGATGTTTTCCAGAGTGCATGACAAGTCCAGTTCTTAGTAGTCCAAGTTCATTGGTACGATCTCTGAGGTGAAGAGCTAATTTTTCTGTACTACCATATACATTAGAAGCATCAATAAATGAAGTGAGTTGATTGACTTGTTCTCTAGGCATTATTTCGGGAACAAATAAAGATGTTAAACCTGATCCACAGAGTGTACTTGATCGAACAAATTCCATACACTGATGATTCCGAATTCTTTTGTCTCCGGGTGGAACTTCAATAGGAAAACAGGGAGGAGAATATTCACAAGATACACTGCAATCTACACCATCTACAAAACTTGCATGACTAACAGCAGGAAGAGAAAAATCCAAATCATGATCTAAAAATTGACCCCACTGCATAAGCATATGAGAATATTCAGAATCAGGTGTTATATTCTCTGTAGTTATTATTTCAGAAGATACCAGACGAGCACTAGGTTTTCGAAATCCATGATATAATTTTGAAGGAGTCCAACCTAAAATTTTAAATGTCAAAAGTTAATATCATATTATACATATTTGAAAGAATCATCATAATACTGTATGAATAATTTAATATTATTGCAATAGACAAGACCACAAAATCCAGCTTTAGATACTTAAAAATAATTACTTCATTCAATTTTTTTAAGTTTATTAACAAAAATTTCATAAAAAAATATAAAATGGTTCTAAATAAGGAATTCTACAGAACTTACTAATAACGTATGTGACTTATTATATAACATTGAAGAAGTTACAAATATTTATTTAAATGTTTTCAGGATCAATGAATTATTAACATTTCAAACAAAATCTATACACCTGTTTAAAAAATTTGTAAATTATTATTTTGTATTGTAATCCCGTGCATTGTATTGAACTTTCTGAAACTAACAGACCCTGAATATCTTAGTCCTCTGTTCTTAATCTGATTTTCTTGCCCCATAGTAGTAAATGAACCAAGGAATGTATTGTCATTATGATTGCTTTTGAGAGTTCAAGCAAGAGAAGTGTTTGAAGACAGAATGAAGAAATTTTATAAAACAAAGGAGGAAACTGTATGGAGATTGTGTTGTTAGTTAACCTTTGTAGAGAGGATTAGTCAGATATGGCACTATTACGATGTAGTGGAGAATAAATGTGGAAAATTTTTTTAAGAATTTTCCCACACGTTTTTCTCGTTTCCAAAAAAAAATGTTTTAGACAGTTGTGTAATAAAGAAAAATCCTTCTTTATTGTCACACAATTCCTTTTTTATGTAAATTTTTGGCTAGATTTTTTTGCGGATATAAACGTCATTCTCCAGTGCCACATGATCGCCCTTGACAGGTATATCCATCAATCACTGCAGAGTGGTTAAAATATTCTATATATGATCATCTATTGTCAGTAATTTTGTGCTGGTGTGCAATAGTTTCATAGATTATGTCATTTTGGTAGTATGGATAATTTCAACATATGTCAAATTTTTTTAATTTGTACAAAATAAAAAAGATAATGTTTTCTTTGGTCTACACTTTGTTGCTATATTGTAAAAATGGTAATTTAAGAGAAATAATACTATTTATATATTTTCACTCGAAAGAAAGAAGATATAAAAATCTTTTTAGTATTCATCAGAATTAAACTCTTATCAAATATTCTAATTTAAAAGAATGTGACTATGCGTATTGCATCTATCAAAATATCTAAATTTTCTAAATTAATTGCAGCAGATTGAATTTTTAACAATTTACATGCAGTGTGAGAAAAACTCAACAACTAAATAGAGAGTAGATTCTCAACACAAGGAAATAATGACTCCCATGTTATATAACTATCTAGTAAAACATATCAAACCTCAAATCGAGAGTCCATTTTCTTTCCATTCAAAATGAGAATTTGAATTCTCATCCTTGGCAATCTCAAACATTCTAATGGAAGAAGAGTTTTCAACATTTTTAAACCATAGAAACATTTTAATTTGTTTGTAAAGGAGTCAATGTCTGATCGTTATTTTATATTTTGGGGCGTTATTTTTATTTAATTATTTTCTTTTCTGGGTTCTTTTTTTTGTTAAGGACAAACTCCTAAGCACCTGTGACCATGAAAGAAAAAGCAAACTTAGTTTGCATCAGTGCCTGATCCTGTAACGACAACTTATGTAAATTAAGACAGTGCGGAGCTGCACTCGAGGTAGAATAAAAGGCGGCACATCCATGATGGAGGTAGGTAGCTTCAGGTGACCACTGTGGGAGAGACGGTGGTGATAAATTAGAGGAAATCTTATCTTTTTGCTGTAAAATCCTTTTTTTTTTAAGGTGGAGATAAAAGTTTTGTTGATTAGATATACATACAAGTTTCTTTGATTATTGATTTTGTTACTACTTTTCAATTATTCAATTAGTTACCCTTCTATTGGGGTCAATTAACCCATTATTGTCTGTTTTTTGTCAATAGAATTAAACTTTATATTTATTGTTAAATATTGTCTGTGGTTATGGAAATTATTGTTTGTTTTGGAAAGTCCAGGCCTGGTACTTGAACCCCACTATTATGTAACCCCTTTTGGTTTTCGTAAATGGTGCGTTACATAACTGGCGCCCGAACAGAGACCTTTATTGGTCAAAAGAAAGTTTTTCAATTTATTTCAGATTTAGCCGTTGGGGTATTTGTTTTGTGTGGACAAGAAAATAATGTCTGGAGAGGATACCATTACTTGTGAGGTGAGTTCGGGACTTTGCAACGCCAGGTGACAACGTTATCGCAGCAAGTTGCTGCACTGACTCAAAGTATGGCAAGTATCGCTTCTGTCTTATCTTTTAAGCAGGTGGAGCCACCACCGAGAGCCGAACTGATCCGGAGGAAAGCATTCCCAATATGCCGCCAACAGGTGCATCTACCCCTCACCAACCAGTGACACCAAATTCTTCGGTGGTAATTGTCAATGCCCAACCCACGCCATCTAAAACATTTAACGGAACCTCTGAGTATCTGGTGGTCGACTTTACTCAGGATCTTGAACAATATTTTTTTGTTAATCAAGTCTCAACTAATCATTGGGTTGATACAGCCGCCTTCTTATTAGAAGGTCCTCCAGCTAAATGGTGGAGGAATGATGGAAGGAAACGAGTAGGTAATAGCTGGCCTCTCTTTTCTCATTTACTTAAAGAATTGTATTCTTGTCTTACAGATGAAGTCGCTCTAGCAAAGAAATTATTCAGCCAAACATATGATGGTAGGTGTGCTGTCGAACAGTACATTTGGGACACTGTTCAGCTGTACCGTGCGTGGAAACCCTTCGCCAGGGACGAAGAGATAGTCCAATGCATAATGGCTCAAATGCCTTTAGATTTACTTGAGTATCTAGAAATTAGACATTGTTATTCTCTTAATGAATTAGTGCAATCTGCCAAAGAATATGAATTTTGAAGAAAACAGACCAGCCCCCCGACCTGTTGAATGAATTGATAATTTGAGACAAAGTTTGCCTGAACGCACACCGACTCAACCTCCTAGTGCAGAAAGAGGGCCTCAGATGATCGAAAGATTTCCTGTACGATGTTATACTTGTGGAATTACTGGGCATTATTCAAGGAACTGTCCCGAAAACAAGTGACCCGAACACCAAACGGTTCCGAAAACATCTAACCCTATACGGGTGCAAGGTAAGTGGGGAACCCGGAAGTTAAACTAATACTGAGGCCAAGAAGGGAGGCTTGATCCTTGAGGTATGAAAAACCCTCTCAACTGGGACTAATATTGAAAACTAAAACAAACTTACCAGAACTGACCTTATTTATTAACGACGTAATGACTAATGCTAGAATTGACACTGGTGCAGACCATTTGCTAATAAGTTTAGACATATGGCGCCGAATTACTCGAAAATCCCCGGGGATAATTCTTCGCCCAGACCCGGACATTAAATTAGCCATAGAGGGCAGATACTATAAAATAAAGGGCGTATTTATGGCCAATCTTCGATTAAATAATACCTTATTACCCCATGAACTTGTGATTGACGGACTCATACTTCCATGCCTGCTTGGAAAAGACTTCCTACAAAAATATAAGGTATTGTTAAATTTTCGTAACTTAGAAATGGAAATTGATATCCCAGATACAGGGTTAAGGGTTAAAGGCGACTTAAAGGAATTACAGACGCCATTAAAAGGAGAAAATTTAACAAAACTAAAAACTGTTTTGAATAATTTTTTACATATTTTTAGTGACAAACCTGGACTCACCAATTACGTAGAACATGCCATCGAGACTGCTCGAAACTGGTGGGGCATCCTCAGACCATATAGGTATTCGCCTGTAAAGCAGAAAGAAATGCAAAGGCAAATACAGGTATACCTCACCTTACGTCAGTAATTGGTTCCAGGAAAACGACGTAAGTCGAATTTACTTGTCTCCGAATCTACTTGTCACTAGGCTAAACTATAAATTACTATTCCCAGTTCTGTATTTTATTTATTAATGCATTTTTAATAATATATGGTTAATAAGAATCTATTTTAAGCTTACAAACAAATAAATTTTAGTTTTTAATAGAGTACAGAAAAAAGTAATCTAAATTTACGAATGCATGTACTGTACTGTAAATACAGTAAATACTTGTAAACGTGTATATTTTAATATGATTTTATGTGCTTTAAACACTTTTCTAGTGATATTACGACTTCAATATTTGTGGAGGACGGATGTAAAGTCAAATAAAATGACTTAAACTTGATTTTTATTTTTTCGTATACTTTTTTGACAAACGATGTATAATCGGGAATGACGTAACTCGAAACGACGTAAGTCGAGGTATACCTGCAGCAGAAATGCTAAAAGAAGGGATAATCAGACCTTCCAATTCGCCATGGGCTTCCCTTGTAGTGATGGTAAAGAAGACAGGAGACTGGAGGCTGTGTGTAGATTATCGTAAGTTAAATAGTATAACAATAACAGATAAATTTCCTTTGCCTGTCATTTCAGACTTGTTGAATTCGCTAAAAAAAGGTCAAATTCATTACTACACTGGATTTGTCGTCAGGCAGGCCCGCCATAAGCGGGCGTNGGGAGGCTTGATCCTTGAGGTATGAAAAACCCTCTCAACTGGGACTAATATTGAAAACTAAAACAAACTTACCAGAACTGACCTTATTTATTAACGACGTAATGACTAATGCTAGAATTGACACTGGTGCAGACCATTTGCTAATAAGTTTAGACATATGGCGCCGAATTACTCGAAAATCCCCGGGGATAATTCTTCGCCCAGACCCGGACATTAAATTAGCCATAGAGGGCAGATACTATAAAATAAAGGGCGTATTTATGGCCAATCTTCGATTAAATAATACCTTATTACCCCATGAACTTGTGATTGACGGACTCATACTTCCATGCCTGCTTGGAAAAGACTTCCTACAAAAATATAAGGTATTGTTAAATTTTCGTAACTTAGAAATGGAAATTGATATCCCAGATACAGGGTTAAGGGTTAAAGGCGACTTAAAGGAATTACAGACGCCATTAAAAGGAGAAAATTTAACAAAACTAAAAACTGTTTTGAATAATTTTTTACATATTTTTAGTGACAAACCTGGACTCACCAATTACGTAGAACATGCCATCGAGACTGCTCGAAACTGGTGGGGCATCCTCAGACCATATAGGTATTCGCCTGTAAAGCAGAAAGAAATGCAAAGGCAAATACAGGTATACCTCACCTTACGTCAGTAATTGGTTCCAGGAAAACAACGTAAGTCGAATTTACTTGTCACTAGGCTAAACTATAAATTACTATTCCCAGTTCTGTATTTTATTTATTAATGCATTTTTAATAATATATGGTTAATAAGAATCTATTTTAAGCTTACAAACAAATAAATTTTAGTTTTTAATAGAGTACAGAAAAAAGTAATCTAAATTTACGAATGCATGTACTGTACTGTAAATACAGTACATACTTGTAAACGTGTATATTTTAATATGATTTTATGTGCTTTAAACGCTTTTCTAGTGATATTACGACTTCAATATTTGTGGAGGACGGATGTAAAGTCGAATAAAATGACTTAAACTTGGTTTTTATTTTTTCGTATACTTTTTTGACAAACGACGTATAATCGGGAATGACGTAACTCGAAACGACGTAAGTCGAGGTATACCTGTAGCAGAAATGCTAAAAGAAGGGATAATCAGACCTTCCAATTCGCCATGGGCTTCCCTTGTAGTGATGGTAAAGAAGAAGACAGGAGACTGGAGGCTGTGTGTAGATTACCGTAAGTTAAATAGTATAACAATAACAGATAAATTTCCTTTGCCTGTCATTTCAGACTTGTTGAATTCGCTAAAAAAAAGGTCAAATTCATTACTACACTGGATTTGTCGTCAGGCAGGCCCGCCATAAGCGGGCGTGCACTGCACGCGGGCGGCAACTCGAGCGATCGGTCACGTACTATTCAAAGTCATTGTCATAATACCCACCCTACTTATAGCATAAGAAATGCCTTCGCATGGAGAAAAAATCCGACCGGCATGCAATTACTATATTCTTATTTATATTATAGCGTTAACAGCGCCTCTATTGGCATTTATCAGAATTAAGATGCAATGCGAAACGTCTGTTGGCAGGTTGAACCATCCGGCGCCACCCGAAAGCCAAGTACTCATAGTCGTGCTCTATGACAGAAGTTGACAGGACTGGTGAAAATAGGCAATCCCCACAGAGCTTCCATCTCAATTTGTACTTGTACGCATTCGAACAGTTCTATCGCATATCAAATTGCAATTATTTTGTTAATAATTCTTCCGACATGGGTCTAAGTATAATTAATGATATTTTAACTTGGTTAGGATTTATATCTAAAGCTTAAAGACGATTGAAGTAGCGAAACAGACATTGACGATATTGATTTGTTTAATGAAATCAATACTTTCAAGTTGCACTTTCCAGAAAACCAGTCTAATGATCTACAAACCCTATTACAATAACTTTTTACTAATGATTTAATTTCAACATTTCCGAACACAGGAATAGCACTAACTTACATTGCCGGTTTCAGTTGCATTTGGTGAAAGGTCCTTTTCAAAGTTAAAAATTATAAAAACTATTTAAGATCAACAATGCACCAGCAAAGACTAAGTAATTTTTCTATAGTTACAATTGAACATGAAATCTTAGACAGCTTGGATACAAGAAAATTGATAGCAGATTTCTCAAACATAAAGGCAAGAAGAGTTCAATTTCTGTAGATAAATATTTATAATGATTTTACACTTAAGTAAACAAAAATAACTTAGTAATAATAA